AGATATCTGTTATCTTCAGTGATATTCTGTGAATTATATTATTCTTAGAGAACAGTCTGTAAAGATTTTATTACAGACGTTTTATAATTGAAAACAAATGGTTTAATCGTGTGCAACGGAAAAAATATTTTACTGAACATGACAAATTTGATTTAATTACAGAAAAAGGTATAAAATGCATTTCAAGGTCATTACTGTGCACCTTGAACTTTGTTGTGTCGCGGAAACATTATAATTCACTTAGACAAAATACGTATTGATTGAAATTTCTTAGTGTTTCGTACTGAAAATCATTAGTCAAGAACGAGAGTGTTGTATAAGGACAATGTGTTTCCTGGGCATCCGGCTTTAAATATTTATTTTTATGTTCACGTTTGTCATTTATTTCTACTATAATTTATTGGTTTTTAGTACCTTGAAAAATGATAACTATTATGAACAAGTTATACTGCTTGGAGGTCATAAGCGTAACTTTAGCAATTAGCGATAGAATATTTTTAAATCAGTTGTCACCGTCATTTTTGCAAATATGTTTTATTATTATCATAAGGAGATTCATGATAATCATCGCCAAAAAGTAAAATTAACTAACAATAGATGCAAGAACTATGAAATGGTTATATATGTGGCGCTCACCAGTAGATAAACTGGAAAAAGTGGTAAGAAACCAAATCGATTATATATTGATTAAAGAGAGATATCGTAACACTATCAAATCAGTTAAACCATATCCAGGAGCAGATCTCACATCAGACCATAACCCACTAATCGCTAATGTCTTAGAAAACCTCAAAAATTAGATGCTGGAAAACTGAAAGAAGCTGATATAAAAAACAAACTGCAACAGAAAATACACGAAAACTTTGATAAAATAGATACTAACACCTACGAGATAAACCAACAATGGGAAACATTAAAAAACTGCCCCCTCGTTTCATGCAAAGAGATAATAACCGATAAGAAAGAGAGACAACTGGATGACCGACGAAATGCTCGGCAGGATATACCAAAGAAAACAAGCCAAGAACAAAGACAGTCAGAATTACAAAATCATTAACAATGAAATCAGAAAAATGATAAGAGACTCAAAACAAACTTACTACGAGGAAAAATGTAGGGAGATAGAACAAATACGACCAATTCAACCTACATAAAAAGATTAAAGAAAGTACAGGGCTGCAAAAAAGAAACAAAAACTTTTTTAGATAAAAATGGAAATACATACTATGATAACGACTGAAACAAAATTATAACGATGGAAAGAATATATGGAAGAGCTCTTCGACGACGAAATAGGAAACCTACAAGACATATCTTTTAAAGTCAGAGAAACAAGTATAGAAATTACAAAGGAAGAAATATTGTATGCACCAAAGAACACCAGAAACGGAAAAAGCCCGGGACCAGATCAAGTGCCTATTGATATCCTTAAAAAGGTCTCCAATGTTGTATTGTAGTATTCCAACGTTGGTCTTTCTGTGTAGCAATGTGGTCCGCGAAGCTCCATTTAAGTTTGGCAATTTTTGATATTATGTCCTCGACTTTCGGTTTCGGCCTTCGGCTTGGGTGAAACCGAAATTAAACACCGAATTAATCAGGGACGTAAAATTGTAGGATGTTTGAACTCCTTATGGTGGGATCGCAACATTTCCAAAAGGAACAAAAAAAGAATAGGGCAAACAATGGTTGAATCAGTTCTTTGTTATGGCTCTGAAGTATGGACAATTAATGCAGACCTGAAAAGAAGATTGTTGGCAGTTGAAATGGATTATTTGAGAAGAAGTGCTAGAACATCAAGGCTGGAAAGGAAAACCAACGAATCTATAAGAAATCAGATGAACGCTACAGATACGGTCATAGACAGAATAGAAAGAAGAGGTTTAAAATGGTTTGGACACCTGTTAAGAATGCCTGACGAACGTTGGCCCCAAAAACTTCACAGATGGAAGCCCCCTGGTAGAAGAAAAAGAGTAGACCTCGACGCTCATGGAATGAAGGTATTAGAAGAGCAATGGAATCGAGAGGTTTAGAGGAGGAGCATGCCTTGGACCGAGAGGATTGGCGGAGGAGGACGGGAATACGGCGATAGCCGTCTCCAAGATGTATTCTATTTACAAATTGGATCCTGTAATATATATATGTCCTCGACTTTTGTTTTGGATCTTACCCAGTCGTTCCTCTTTTTATCTGACAGTCGTATACCTAACATTGCTCTTTCCATTGTTCTTTCTGTTGTGGCTAGTTTATTCATGTTTGCCTGGTTAGGGTCCAGGTTTGACATCCATATGTCATGATGGGAAGGATGCATTGGTTGAACACTTTGCTCCTCAAGTATTGGGGTATTTTGCGGTTCTTAAGTATCCAACTAAGTATTCCTAATCCTGCCCATGCTAGTCTTGCTCTTCTAGTAATTTCCGCACTTTGGTTCTCTTTGTCAAGTCTCAGGATTTGGTCTAGGTAGATATATTCCTGGATTTGTTCTATCTCACTGCCGTTTATAGTTATATGTCTGGGGTCTTCTGTGTTTGTCATTATTTTTGTTTTTTTCATATTCATTTTTAGGCCGACGTATTGGGAGCTGGCTGCTAGTTCCCCCAACATAATTTGCAGTTCCTCAAATGTGCTCGCTATAATCACTATGTCGTCAGCGAATCTGAGGTGGTTTAACTTGTTGCCATTAACGTTAATGCCATAGGTTGTTGCCACCGATATAATTATTAAGTTAGTACAAAATAAATTAAATATGCATTGTTTAATAAAATATGCTGTCTATCAATGGAAACATATATTTAATAACATTAAAATAATTAGGTAATTTTAATATTATTAGAAAACAAAATAAATAAATTTAAAACTAACTAGGTAATTGTAATGTACTAATTAGTTATAATCAAAGTAATAAAGAACCATAGAATATAATCAAAGTAATAAAGAAATAAAATACTATTCCGTAGAATTATGGAAAGAATAATTCATCCACACTGGAGTGCTAAATTAACAGGACACAAGATTTTTATGTATTTTTTCATTTTAAGATAAAAACTTTTGTTTAGTTATTAATGAGAAATAAATTAAATACAATATTTTAAGCTTATTTTGGTATTTTAAGTGTTTACAAGTTTGGTATTAGTGTTTTTTTATTTTCTCCTTTTCAAAAATTGCAATAACAAGATGACGGCAGAACAAATAGCACAAGCTGCTGCTTTACAGGATGACGGGCGAGCATTCGTTACACCGCAAATGCTTTAGGAATTCCTCGAAGTACAAGTATTTGATGCAATACAAAGATTTTGGATAACAGGACAATACACCTGGAAGCCAGATCAAAGTACCCAAAGAACCACAAGTCAAGTTGAAGATAGCTTTATTAGATTGCATGCCTTCGCACAATTGCACATTATCAGCACCAGTATTTGGTCAACAATTAAATTATGTCCATAGAAACATTTTCCCTTTATACCGTTCGAAGATGCAGAAATTAATATAAATTAACGTCCAAAATACCCGTCAAGGGCCCTCTATAAGCAACGGATCATCGGAATGAACATCAGATACCTTCATTGTCGTTTTGGTGCTTTCTCTGTCTGTTTTTGGTGCTTGGTGATGATTTAGCATCATGTTTTAGGCCCATTTGCCTCTTCAGGATGTGGTTTTTTGTTATGTGGCTGTTGGCTGCTTTTTGTTTGTTGGTGGATCCACTGGTGGTTGCTTCATCAGATTGGTTGAACATCGGATCAACGGAACCAACGTTTACACTTTGCTGGCAAATATCTTAATTGGGGTGTTGAAGAAGGGAGTACGATGCTTTTCATGGATGAATCATGGATCCTCATCAGATAGGCGGCCTAGGTTTTGGAGAAGAGGTGGTAAACGTTATCAGCAATGTTATTTTACTCCCAGAGTTCAATTTGGTGGAGGTAGTATAAGGTTGTGAGCATCTATTTCCCTAGAGCCTCATACGGGATTTTTTGTCTCGTATGAGGTTCTAGCTAGGGAATATTTGGAAGATTACGTAGCTCCATTTGCCCCATTTGTTAAATAAAACTTTGACAGATGACACAATACTCCTTGCGGACAGCAGAGAAGGTCTAGAGATCTTGGTTGATCGCATTTCCCAATACTGTGAAAGGTATGGAACAGCACTGAATACAAATAAAACAAAAATCATGGTGGTAAGCAAGAACAAGATTGAAGAAGACAGTGTTTATGCTAAAGGAAAACTTTTAGGCAGGTCACACAGATATTAGTACTTAGGTTGCGAACTAAATGAAGAATGGGATAGAAGAACGAAAATAAAACGGACCATTGAGATAGCTTGAAGTGCTTTTAATAAGATTTAATAAGAAATTAGAACTAGAGTATTAAGATGCTACGTGTTCTCTGTCCTGTTGTATGGAGTTGAAGCCTGGACAGTTACAGAGGAGACAGAGAAAAGACTCATTAACTTTGAAATGTGGTGTTATCAAAGAATGTGGAAAATTTCATATGCGGAAATGCTAAGAATGAAAAAAGATAAATGCGGCTGGTCGTACAAGTGAAGTTGGAAGGCAAAAGAGGACCGGGAGAAGACACACGTCCTGGTTGAAGAATCTGAGGCAATGGAGTGGGAAAACGTCAATAGAACTGTTCAGAACGGCTACAGATAAAGGCAAATGGGCCACGATGATCGCCAATGTCCTTAGGGATGAGGCAAGTTAAGAAGATGTATTTTTAAAAAAAATTTTCTATAGGTCATTAGTATAAGTCTTAACGAAACAAATAAGCATCTTTTTATTTAATTCAAATTATCTGGACCGGCCTTAGAAATTAGCTCATTTTTCAAAAAATCTTATAAACAATTTAAATTTCGCAACAACTATTCAACCGATCTGCTAATTAATCATCTTTGGGACACACAATTTTCTAAAATTCAGGTAAATTAAAAAAATAAAAAAAAAATAAATAAAATTATTAACAATATTCAAAAAGAGCGATTTTGTTGTACATTTTGCAAAACTTACCTGTACAAATAAATTATGACCTCCTGGTACGTTCTTCATGATATGTCTTTCGATTTTCTCGTTTTCCAGGATGGCCATACCTCTGTCTATCAGGATCGGAGGTGGTGTCGCTTCGAAATTCGTACGGAAGTCAGGAGGAGGTTTCTGCATATCTACTGTCGTGACCTTCAGACTAATGGTTTTCAGTTCGGCCAATAAGTACAACTCCATAAAGTATTCCTGACAGAACAGGCACGCCCCTTTACGTCTGCCGTCTATTGTTGAGGCCTGAAACAAACACTAAGTTGAGAGAGAGCCAAAAGTAATGATTATAAGATGGTTAAAAAATAATAATAAATATTAATGTAAAGTTGGTGTTGATGTTAGAAAATTAGATTAGATCACTCTTCGCACATGGTTACTTTAAGTTTAAATATAATTGTTAAAAGAATGCAACATTGACAGTTCAACAAACGTCTCGATTTGAACGAGTTTAGAACGAGTTCATATTCAGCAATATACAGGTTGATTTTTATTTCAAATGGGGCATCTTTTAACGATATAGGTATATGTCAATTGTCAATCCACTCCCACCCAGTACCTCAATCATTAAATTTTAAATTGGGAATATACCATGTGTGGCATATTGTTAGACATGTATTTCGCTGAAGAATTCAGACATCTATATTTTTTTCCAAATTCACTCTATTCTTGTGAAAAAGTATCAGTTTATTGAAAATGTTACACCTCTTAAATGAAATCTAAATGTAATGCCTATGTTTTGCTGGTTTTAATTTCAAATTTTTCCTGGTACGTCAAAAACAACATTAAAACGAAATTTGTAACATTAATACGAAACTTTATTAAATATAAAGTAAATAAAATTAACTAAATTTTAAACACCATATGTGTTTCCGAAATAATACTGCTAATACTGCTTGTATTATTTCGCCCATTATTATATTAAAGAGAAGTGGGTTTAACGAGTCACCTTGTGTGACTCCGCTTTGTACTGGTATACACTGTGTTAGTTTTCGATTTATCATTGTCTGTATTCGATTATGGACTATAAAGAAAGTTGCTGTTCGAAAATACGACGAATATTTTGAAGCATTTCAGGGGTTACTAGACTATATTTATACACTATTTGTCGTCTCAGTTCTTCCTATGAAGCAGGAAGCTGAAAATACAGATCTTCCTTTTTACATAACTCCATTGAAAGAAATCCAGGGAAATTCAATCTAGACATCTTGCTGATCATTAAATGAAACCTCTTCATCCATTTCATTGTATAGGAAATTGTTCATTACGGTATTGCCTTACGTTTACGCTATAACGTAAAGGTGCACCTTCTTGGTGGAAAAACAAATCATCTTCCAAACACATGTTATGATTTTCATAATCTGTCAAAATGGTATCAACTGTGTTCTTTAGTAATTCTAGATACGCTTGATTCAAATTTTATTGCGGAAGAATGGTCCAACAATACGATCTCCATAAATTCCTGCACATACATTTAATTTCAATGGCCGTTTGGTCTGTGCTTCGAGGAAAACTTTACGTATTAATCAGCTCAATAACGCACACTACCGTATAGAAAAAATATTCATTCGAAAAACAAATATTAAATGGAAAGTTTGGATTACTATTTATTTTCTCAGTCCTAATTACAGAAAACTGTAGTCGCCCATTTTGATCATTCATTTCCTGTATCAAGTGTAATTTGAGGGGATGAAACTTGTATTGTCTCAGTACTCTACGGACAGTCTTTCTTCTTAGGGTGCCTGTCCGTTCCGAACGTTGGGGATCATTCTGGCTATGTTGGTTGCTATATGGAATATCTGTGTTGAGGTCTTTCTATACCATGCTCTCAGGTTAGCAAGCCAAGATATTCCTCTTCGTCCCCGGGGACCCTTTTTCCTTCAATTTTACCTTGTAAAATGCATTGGAGTAGCTCGTATCTGCCTTGATTTCTCATTATATGTCCCAAGTACTGCAGTATGTTGCCCTTCACGATGTTGACTAAACCCGCGGACAGTAGTACGCGAAAAACCAGATTATTGAGCTATTCTTTAAGTTCTTGAAGTATGTTCCAAATTAAAATGACCTAAAATTGCTACTTCTGTCGTTTTAGTCCTTAAACGCATTTCGCATTTGCCTTTATTTATCAGCTATTTATTCCGTTTCATGAAATGTTTTACTAGTTTTAATAGTAAGTATGCGTGATGAAGTTGATTAAATAATTTCGCATTTCTCCTAGCACACTTTCCATTTTCAAAAAATATGGAAATAATGTCAACGTGTTCTGGTATAGAATAGACCATTTTGAACGAATTTAAAAAATACTTATTTACTTAAATCGTTGTTAAACGCTACCAACAACCGTTCAAATAACTAAACTACTTTTTTAATTGCATATAAGTAATTGTTTTTTTCTTTGTTCTTCATCTTTTTTGTTTCTATTTGGACAACTTATAGTAACCCTGATAATTCATAATGTATATTATCAAAGTTAACGTTATTATTAGTTTTATAACGGAGAATATACGTCTACGTGCATCCTACTTGTAATTTTCTTTTGTCAATGTCTATTTACAGGTTAAACTTCATTAATCGAATAATAATGATTAGTTGGTGACCGTTACAGCAACTTATTATTAATAACAATTTACGTGTTTCCAGTGGCATCGTTAATAATATTAAAGCGGTTACTGGTTATTTATTTAATATTGCATGATAAACAGATATTTAAATTTTAACAATAAAATTTACCAGTATGCTCGATGCATTACTTGAAACAATAATCCCCAAAGGTTTAATTACTTTATCGGTATAAAGAGAAATAAGGTATTCAGTAAGAGTAAAATATAATACACAAGCATTGTCGACTTCTAAAAAACTTACAACTACTTAAAAGTAAATAAATCCAGGACCGGGCCATATTACGACTAGACCTCTGAAGAATCTGACAGCAAAAGCAATAGTATACATAAAAAATTTAATCAACAACATCCTAAGATGATGACATTTTCCTGACAGGTGAAAGAAAGCTCACGTAATAATGATCGAAAAAGCAAAATTGCAGAGCAAGTCATACTAGCTAGGCTAAAGAATAAGAAAAAATCGGAACAATACCTGAAGCACAGTTCAGATTCAAATCCAAAGACTCATGTGAACTCCAGGTAGTGGGTCTAGCAGAATACATGACGAAAAGGTGATCAGTGAATATACAGCAGCTACCTTTCTAGATGTCCGTAAAGCATTCGACAGAGTCTGGCACGAAGGCCTGCTGTATAAAATGAACCAATATGGTTATAGTGAGACGATGACATGTATTCTGTCGACATACCTAGTAGACAGGAGGTTCAGAGTCTCTCCATTACAAAGCCTCTTCATTTGTTATGTCCTACGATGGGAAGTGGTAGTTGGTTATAGCTTGTGGGTCAGATAAGTACCTCTCCATTATGGAGTATAACAAGTTTGAATACCACAACAAAAAGAAGACAAAACACCATCATCTCATGTTGACATGTTACATACGAAACACCTGGAAGTACATTAAATGGAATAAAATATCCTGAAAAAAATTGATACAAATATTAGAATCCCTCATGAAGTTCCTGATCCGAAGAACACAAATGGTGGCCAGAAAGTCGAGACCGTTAACCTTTTCAGATATCCTAAAATTAGAAACAAACTATACGTATTGTATCTTCATTCATATTCGTTCATAACTTCACGCCAAAACGTTCCATCGTCGTTTGTGAGATAAGAGCGTAATATGTCACTCTTCACAAATTTGACTTCTACTGCAGTTACCGACAGGAAATTCCGAAATGTTCATCCCAATACCCAAAACCAATATACCAATAATTGAGTTCATCCCAATACCCAAAAAACCCAACGTAATGAAATGTAAAAAATATAGAACGTCCAGTTTGATTACCATGTTTTAAAAGTCTTCTTGCAAGTGATACATGAACGTGAAAGTGTCTACAAAAACTAGACGATAAAGTATCAGGAAACCAACAGGGATTTAGCGAAGGCTTTGGCACTAGATAGGCATTATTTAATATACAAACACTCATAGAACGGTGTCGAGATGTCAACTGTGACGTATTCATAAGTCTTGTTGAGTTTGAGAAAGCCTTGTTGTGAAAGGATGTTTTTATCTGAAAGTATTTTAGCTATTAAATTATTTTCCTCTTGCGGCCAGTTATTCTGATGCTAAGAAATTTCGTATCTTGCCTTGTATGTTCTTCTTTAAGTACCATATCTCCAATGGGCGTTGACGATCATTCTGGTCCACATAAGTTTGTTTATAGCGGCTAGTACACTTCTAATGATGTTTCAGTCACAAGATTCTCATGTTGCACTTCTAACTTCTCACTATATGACCAAAATAAGCTAATTACTAATAAACTGGGAATAAGCCACAATTAAAGATAAAAATACGTTTATTGACGTTTCAATTTCCACTTCGGAAATCGTTCTCAAAATACAAAAATTTTGTATTTTGAGAACGATTTCCGAAGTGGAAATTGAAACGTCAATAAACGTATTTTTATCTTTAATTGTGGCTTATTCCCAGTTTATTAGTAATTAATTTACAATGCCACAAAAAAATAGCTTCAGAACAAAATAAGCTAGTTTTGTACGTTTAACAGTGCAGATCAATTTTTGGTCTTGACATATTCTTTGCAAAACATTTTCGTTGGATATAGTTTGATATAATTGTCTTCTAGTAGTTTGACAGCTTCTCCAAGTATTTTATCAATACTGGAAGCTTTATTCTTTGGATGGCTATCACTGACGAGCGAAAACTGACTCAGATCATTATCTTGCAGGAGAAAACGATGGCAGAAAGTCAGTCGTTACAGTGGCAAAAGGGACAAATAATCGAAGTATTCAAGAACCTATCAAAGAAACAAGAATATAAACATGGTCTACAAATGAAGAACAAAAATTAAGAAACCAGAGAGGAAGATACTGCAGAGAAGGAATGGTGACAGTTAAAAACAATCAGAACGTAATCTATAGAGGAAACTGTAGGAAAAGCCAAGAGATAAAGAAATGCGGAATGGTAAGGTGATGAATGTAGAACAGCAGTAGAGGAAAAAAGGCAAGCTAGACTTAACCATTTACAAAAGAACACCAGAAATAATAAGAAAATGAATGAGAAAAGAGTACAAGCGACTAGAACATAAAGAAGAAAGGAAAGAGTTGCTTTGAAAAAATAAGCACAAGAAATCCTAGACATTACAATAAACGAGAAAGCAGAAAATTCT